TTGTGCAACTGTCGACATGAGTTCATAGCGTAGACGAGCTACAGTGACACAGAATTAGCTTACCACTTGGAGCCTTAAGAGTGGTATAGAGATGTCACTAGACGTTCAAGCACACGGAGAGTTGCTGCACTGAACGCAGCGATGAGTTTTTTTAGTAATTAAAATTAGTGTTTTAATTGTTTTTAGATGTGTAGAATTTCTGATATTTTCCATTTAAATTGCAGTACGACTGCGTGGAGTCCGTTGAGCAGGGTTTACGTGATGGGATGAGAGCAAGAGGGCTATCATATGACCAGATGGCGGAGTATGCTGACCAGTTGGCGGCAGGGGTTACAGCTATAGGTTTTAGTGATCGCCGACATCCTGATACAAAGCCGATACAGCGGTACCCTGATGAGCGCAGCTTAGCCAGCTGGCCAGAGCGTAGGACTCAGCCATCTTCTAGCCCTCAGTTTCAGCCCGATGGCCAAGTCCTACGCTCTGGCCAGCTGGCTAAGCTGCGCTCATCAGGGTACCGCTGTATCGGCTCTGTATCAGGATGTCGGCGATCACTAAAACCTATAGCTGTAACCCCTGCCGCCAACTGGTCAGCATACTCCGTCATCTGGTCATATGATAGCCCTCCTACTCTCATCCCATCACGTAAACCCTGCTCAAAGGACTCCATGCAGTTGTATTGCAATTTAAATGAAAAATATTAGAAATTCTACACATCTAAAAACAATTAAAACACTAATTTTAATTACTAAAAAAACTCACCGCTGCGTTCAGTGCAGCAACTCTCCGTGTGCCTGAACGTCTAGTGACACATCTCTATACCACTCTTGATGCTCCGAGTGGTAAGCTAATTCTACGTCACTGTAGCTCGTCTGCGCTACGAACTCATGTCGACGGTTCCACAACTCAATCGACTCGCTGGCTGCCTGTATGAATTGCGGGCCACGTGATGGCCCATGCTGTCCTTGACGAAGAAAAAATCTAATCTCAGCTGCGGAATGTGGAGGATGAGGCCGGTCCTGAATCATCCCAAACTGTCCGAGCACGCGATCTGGATGATGCCACATCTGCGATGAGAAGCGGAACTACTGCTCGAAACGTGTAGGACTGAATCACAGTACCGCTGTAGTCCTGACCTCTATGAAAGTACGGACGCCACTGCACACAAGAATTCGTCACATAATTACTCCTAAATCTATAACAAATCAATTAAAACTATTCTATAAAACGAAATGTTATATACTAACCACGAATGTCGTGCACTCGTCAAACCACAGCTTGTACAAGTAGAACTGTTCTCCATGCTGACTGAACGGCATGTGGAATGTCGATGCCTCGGGTCGCCAACGCTCTACGAGCGCAGTAATCAAACCCAGATCACTGGTAAGAGGGGCTAGTGGCAGAACACTAGACAAGCCGGCATCGACGAGATACGCCAGGTACAGTGGATTGTATCGAACTAAATTCCCCGTATGACGAATGTGGTAAGGTCGATCACCAGCCTATAATTAATGAACAAAACTATATTAATTCAATTCCTTCAACTCACCTAATATATATATTTATATATCTAAACTAAACTTATTCTAATATAATATACTCGTAACTTAATCTAATTCTATTCCTAATTTAATTTAATTCTATTCATAATTCAATTCAATTCTATTATATTATTCACCTAATAAAACTATAGAAATAGTTTGAAAAAACTTACCTCATTTTGCCCCAACTGCGTCAATCCGATGGTGACCATGCCCCCAAAGAAGTTCCAGATCCATTGGAACAGTATCGATTGTCGCAGGTGGTGGTCTCATCGAACAAGGATCGATAAGCCTAGGAAATGGGAAAAAAAAATATTAGAACATAAAAAAAAAAGTCGCCGCCGGCAAGAAGGCCGACACTCACTCCTGTAGCGTTCGCCGCCGCCGCCACGCCGCCCTCGGCCTCTTCCTCTGCCGCCGGGCGCATGCTGCTTGTCGTCGGACATTCTGCGCCGCCGTTGTAGATGGGGCGCCTTCGCCTAGTTCCTCGCGCCGCCGCCTGAGACTGAGGCTCTGCCTTCTTACTCTCGGCGTCGCCGCTCTAGTTTTGGCGACGGCGCTGGGATGGAAGATGAAGGAGGTCGGATGGTCTGGCGCGAGAGGGCAGGGAGGAAGGGGATAAAAAAATCCAAAAGTTGATAGCGACGGCGCCCCAGTCTCAGGCGCCGTCGCTAGCTTTACCCTTAAAAACTCGATTTTCTGAGTCTCGGGCGCCGTCGCCAACTTCCCTCCATCAAAACACAATATTCTTGTAAATGGTTTTTAAACCACTATATTCGTGGTAAATTAAAAAAACAATATTTAAGGAATTAACCCGCATGATGATGATGGGAAGTTTTATATGCTAGACGTTTTAAGGAATGAAAATATGACATAAAAGAATGATAAATAACATAAAGTAAATAGCATAGTAAGTGGAATGGATAGTATCGTGAGTAATGGTAAGCAATTAGCAATAACGTATAAGTAGATAGTTAAAGGCTAATATGTCTAATATGTAATAAAGTAAATGTGCTTTTAATAAGTAAAGGATCTCAGCTGAATGGAAGAGTGGTAAAGTAAATGAGACTTTTAATCTAGGATTAATTAGTGTCAATCATTAAAAATCAATTTAGTCATGATTGGAGTTGATTGATTATTCTTCGTAAAAATAAGCGATGTATGTAAATGGTAAGTGTTAGATGAATATGGATGATAATACTAATAACAATGATATATATAGAGTTAGTTTGACAAGAAGGGAAGAGTAGAAGAAGAGAATAAAAAACAGTAAAGGAGTGGTATATCATTAGAAATGGAATATGAACCTGGCTTTCCTTGAATACAAACTTTGTTGGGCTTCTGTTTGCCTAAAGGCCTTCTTCTATTTGACAGAAAATAAAGAAAGAAAAGAAAGTGTTTTGTATTTCTTTTTTATATTTCCCCCAGTACTTCCCCTCTCTAAACTGACTAATAAGAAGAAAAAGAATTATGAACTGACTGAAAGAAAGGAATGAAGTGTTTCCCAAGTTTTTTTCCCCTTCTGAAAGCTGTCCTCCGTTCTTGAAAATTGAGCCTGCTTTTATAGAGAAAGGAGGCCGTGGTTTCTGGGTTCGGTCGGACTAGTTCTGGTTCGACCGGTCCGTCTGTTGGTTGGGGTCGTTGGGTTGGTTCGGATTGCTGGCCCATTTTGTCTGATCTGGTCCAAAGTGGTTTTAATGCTTGGGCTTGAAATGTGGGCTGTGATCTACACTTGTCTTGGATCTGGGCCTGAATAGACTGTCTCCTGTCTTCTTGCATATTATGGCGGATGAAGTAAGAGTGCGCTTCAAATATCAAGTTTTAATTTGTAACACTACCTTGGTAGCTTAATCCGAATTCATTGGTCTAGAGACCGAGAGAGTGATGTTCCATCACTAGCTGCACTTCCCTTGCGGTTCACAACCACCTCCACCACATGTTTTCATTCATTCCGAAAAGTCATGGTAACTAGTTAGGGGGAGCTACATCCGAGTGAATCCTTCTCATTTAGAGTCAAAACCAATTACTTTTACAATCGTCTTAATTGTAGACAACAGGATTTGGAGTTCAGTCACTCATCAACAGTAGCTCGACGTTCGGACTTGCTAGATAATGTTTCAAATAATCGAAGTAGGGGTACATGGACCATCCCGAATTGATATTTAAACATAGTTGCCATATATTGCACCCAATGCAGTCAAAATCGGGATTTTGATCGTAAAATCGTAGGATTTTAGGATTTTACTTATGGATTCTGATCCTAGTTCTACTATAAAATCGGTGGACCTTAAAATCTTTCAAAATCGGGACTAAAATCGTAAATCGTACCAAAATCGGGATTTTGATCCTACGTGAACAAAATAGGCAGTTTGAGCCAATTCAAAAGAAGCAAAAATGTTTCGGTGGAAAGGGCAATGACGAGGGATCTTCTCATATATTTTTCCTATTAAAAGAACATTTGAAAAGAAAAAAATAACATAAGTAGGGTTTGGTCAACCCTTTATGTTTCCCTTGTTTAACACGTCGGTAAAATAGTTGATATAATATTGTAAGTACGTAAGAATTAATATCATTATTAACAAATTAATTGATTAATGAATATATTTGCACCAAACCAATGACATTAATTATTTTTTGGAGCTCAATTATTCTTGGTTTGAAATTATGTTTAGTAGACAATGTCGAAATACTACTTTGAGTTAAACTATTTAGACACAACATCAAGAACAAGTGTCAAACCCTATGAGCTCTATCCCTGACTCATAAATTATTTTGAGTTACGCATTAAATAACAATTGAAATGATGATTTTGGAACATTAATCTTGAAAATTATCACTTTAAATGTTATATGTTTTTGTGTTATTAATGATTTACCTTATTAATATTATTATATGTTAATTTCTATATGGTACTTAAAATTCTATGATTTTATGATTCCGATTTTACCTAAGTTTTCGATTTTAGGTAAAATCTCGATTTTGGCTGCTTTGATTGCACCTAATTAAGATTTATCCTTGGGCCCTAATTGGGAGTTTTATTGTGATATTCGGAGGAGTCAACGATCGAGAAATCATGCTTTATAATATTTCTCAGTTGGATCTTCAACAAAGAGCATGGTACTAAATTCAAAGAAATCATATTATGTTACCAACCAACACCAAGTTGTACACCACTGAGAAGATCTATCAGTAGCTCATTTGATGACACTTACACCCCCGACAAGTAATGTTTAGGGCTAATAGCACTTGGAAATCCGAACAATTAACTTTGTGTCATTTGTGTCCTAAAGTATTTGCTATGACATTTGTGTCCCAACCTATTATAGTTTTGTGTCATTTATGGCCTGACGATTTTGTTGACCATTATATATAACGGTTGACCAGACGGTGGTCAACTTGATGTTGACGTGGCAGCCACGTAGATACCACATCATTGACACCTCATATTTTTAATTAAAATTTAAATAAAAATAAAATGGAGAAATTAAAAAATGAAAACACAGCCGACGACGACAGCATCTTCAACGCCGACGGCGATACTTGGAAGTCCCAGCGCCAACTCTCCAGCCACGAGTTCAACACCAAATCGCTCCGCAGGTTCCTCGAGACCGTCGTCGACACCGAGCTCTCTGCCCGCCTAATCCCAACCCTCTCCCCCGCGGCTGCAAACACAGCCGCCGCCACGCTCGACTTGCAGGACATTCTTCAGAGGTTCACCTTCGACAACATCTGCAAAATCGCCTTCGGGTACGACCTGGGTTACCTGGCTCCGACCCTGCCTGAGGCACGATTCGCCACGGCGTTCGAGAACGCAGTGCGGATTATCTGCGGGCGGTTCAATTCCGGGGTTCCCTAAATCTGGAAGATTAAAAAATTTCTAGGGATTGGATATGAGGCGGAGCTGAAGGAAGTGGTCTCGGAAGTTAGGGATTTCGCTAAGAAGATCGTCAGAGAGAAGAAGGCAGAGCTGAAACAGAACGATTCGATCGACATTCTCTCTCGATTCTTGAGCTTCTTGTCGGCGGAGGAAGATGTGGGTTAATCCAGCTTGGGATTGAAGAAGATAATGATTAATCGAGGAAGAGAAGGATTAATTGTGTCCCAAAAAATAATCCACAAATCATATTTGTTTTTTTTTTTTGTAATTTTTTATATGAAAAGTAATTATAAATTAATAATAAAAGTTCCACGTCAGATGCCACATAAGCGCTGACTAGACTTTCTGTTAAAAACTAACGGTCAACGCTAGTCAACTCTAACGGAAAAATAGTTTAGGACACAAATGTCATATCGAATACTTTAGGATACAAATGACACAAAGTTAATAGTTCGGGTTTTCCAGTGGTATTAACCCTAATATTTAATAAGTTGTTTGATTTATTGTTGATGTATGCTTTATTTTTAGTGAGTTTGCTTTAAGTACTTTGAATTTACCCTTGATGTATCATTTATTTTAGTTTGTTTGCTTTAAGTACTATGAATTTACCCTTTTTAATTTTGTTTCTGTTCAATTATTAATGTAACAACTTTCTTTATTAAGACAAGAAAGTGGAAAACACATTGATAACAAAATGGAAAATACATTGATAACAAAGTATAACAAAAGTAAACTCAGCACACAATACAAATTCAAGTAATTAAAGTGCACAAATTAAATTTAGACCCACACCACATTTCTACTCCCCTCCTACTCTTGTCCACAAATGCTCAACCAAATTCGCTTTCAACGCATGATGCCCTTCATTGTTACGAATTCTATTATGCCTTATCATGTACTCCACGAGAGCCAGAGTGTCATGATCCGGTGGATCCAATGTGACATCTGGATTTGTCTCATATTCAATCATCTCCACTTGTTCCTCTTCAAACTCATTTCGTTGGTCTCCAACTATCATATTGTGTATAATAACGCAAGGTAGCATAATCTTTCCCAAAGTTTGTACAACCCAATATCGAGCCATCGCTCTAATAATGACCCATCTTTTTTGTAGAATGTCAAAGGCTCACTCAACATCCTTGTTGTATAATTCTTGTCATTTTGCAAACAACTTCTTCTTCTAGTTACTAGGGTTGCTAATAATTTCCAAAAATGTAAACCATTCAGGATAAATCTAGGATAAATCATGTCAGCCAAGTAGTAACATTGATCAAAAATTGTACCATATACCGTATACCTAACTTTTGGAATAATTCATCTGACTGCTTCATTGAACAGTGGGAGACTCCAAGCGCGCTTATGTCATTGTTTGATCCGGGACTTCCGAAGAAGGCATGCCAAATCCAGGTTTCATATGACGCTACAGTTTCCAGGATAATGGTTTGTTTTTCCCTTGTATCTAGTAAATTGTCCTTGCCACGCCATTGGACAATTTTTTCACTCTCAGTACATGCGGTCGATTGAACAAATCATAGCAGGGAAGCCACGCCAATCGTTGTGATGAAGAAGGCGGCGAAGATCCACCATATTTGGTGATCGTAAGTAGTCAGGGCCATAGATGCAGATGATGCCATTACAAAATTTATGCATGCACTGCAGTTCATTGGTCTCACCCATATCAAAGGGCTCATCTAGGGAGTCGACTGAGCATCAATTTGAAAGCATCCGGAGGGAAGTAGTAAGCTTGTGTTCTGGGGAGAATGACAGGCGACCTGCAACATCTCGGCCTTGCTGGAACTAGGGGTCGTGTTGAACAACGCCAGTCATGACTCAGTTGAACAAGAAGAAGGGCATATGAAATCTCCTTCTAAAGAACCTAGCGTTGTAGGATGGATTGGGAATGCATAATCTGTAAAAGATCAAGGTCAAGCTAGCACTCCTACTCTCATTGCCTATCATCAGCTTCCTGCTGTCTCTCATCAGCTTCTCTACTAGGTGACCTCTGTCAGATACCCGCCCTATTGGGGTTTCTATTATTATATTAAGTAGGATAATAATAATTATGATTAGTAGAGATTTAGTCGGATTAGGATTATTATTAGGGTTTTTCGGTATTTACACTGTAAATATGTACTTTGGGTTTACGTCATAGGCAGTCAAAAAAAGTATTAAGTAAAGTATCATTCTAAACCTAATTCCTCTCAACTCCTAATTTCTATTCTCTCCTAATCTAAGGCCTCGGCCGATTCCCAATTATATTATGTTCTTTCTCTCAATCCCTAAATCCCTATCCGTTACAAGTAATTGCGGGTGCCGAAGATCGGTCCCTATAATCCCAAGAAGTGGAGTTCTTTCAGTGGTATCAGAGCCTGGTTGCAAGCACTCGTACCGGAGCCATGTCGAGATTCGAAGGGTTCTCAATCGAAGAACTCACCAAAGCTCTTAAGATGAAGTTGGAAGCGACGAGAACAGGATGGAGTCTCATCTCACCTCCGATCGCAGCCATAATCGAACCGCTGGTCGCTGAAACGGATTTTGAAGATTGGTTTGAACAACCTACATTCCCAATCGAGCCGAGCGCGGTGACGACAGATAGCAGATCGAGTCTGCGGAAAGCTAAGGAGCAGGAGGCGGAATTGTGTCTCGAAGCCAAGACCTCCGATGAGCAGCAACAACCTTCCCCGACATCGCAACCAGCCCCGATCGATGAGTTTTGAACGACAATGAGACAAGAAATTCATCGCTTTCACCGGTCAGTACTATCGAAGTTTCGAGGAGAGCAACTGGAGACAATGAACAAGCCGCGACGGACAGGGAACGGACGACGAGGCTAAGATGAGATGGTGGCCACCAACCAGGGTTCGCCGCAATCGACGTCAACTATAGCCATGGCATCCACCGACGAGGAGGTCAAGCCGCTGGTAAGGCCAGAAAAGCGGCGGGGCCGCCGTTGGGTGGAAGACTTGCCTCTAAAGATTGAGGAGCAGAGTCGTCGGGGTTCTTCGCCTGTGGCGCGATTCCAAGGGAGGCGCACTGCCGGAGACGAAGAAGAGGCGTTGGAGATGAAGAAAGCTAGCGGCTCAGACGGGCATGTCCCTCGGCCGGTGATCTGCGACCGATGCCGCGAAGCAGAGTGGGGTCGTCGTGGTAACTGTTGTTCGTTGAGGAAGTCGTCGAAGAAGAAGGAAGAGTTTGCGGTTACCAAAGCATCGGCGATGAACAAGGCATAACGAATTCCATTGAAGAGGAAGATGGCGGAGAATGAGGCAGAGCTCGAGCCTCCATTGGAGTACGGGGCAGAGTTGAAAACGAAGACCGTGAAGCCAAGGCTCAAAGCGAGCCGACCTCCATTCCTGTCGTCGATCAGCCTTTGGCCGAAGAAGAAGATGCCGGAGAAGGAGTCGCCGTCGGAGGTCGAGAGGAAGCTGAAGGTGGCAGCAGATTCGGCCTGCTCACCTTGTTTTCGGCGGGACCGCGCTCCATCGGGAAAGGAATTGAAGGAGATGGAGCAGTTGCCGGCTTGGAGGATGATGAAGAAGAAGCGGTCGGCATATGAGGAGAAGGTGGATGGTGGGTATTCGTTTCTCCCGCAAACCCTTGGTCGGCCACTATGGGTTGTGCATCACAGCAGCAGGCTTGCATGGGCCGAGTTTCAGTGGGCTATTTTGTTAGATTTGTCTTGGAGGGACAAAACTTGAGGGAAGAAGAATATGGACTAGTTGGATTAAATGGTGGGCCGAACAAGAAAGAACTCAGCTGGCATAAAGAGAAAGGTGGGCCGAAGTTTATAATCTTCTTGGGCCGAAGTGGGAGAGAGACTCAGTCCATCTCTTGTCTCTTTGAAACAGAAGTTGGGCCAAGTTTTAAGAGATGGCTTGGGCCTCCGTTGGGCTGTCTGATTAGTCCTCCTTGGTTTGAGCAAGGCTTGAAGGAAAAGAAACAAGAAGACAAGGTGGGCTTAACAAGTGAGCCTTCAGGAGAGACAAGCCCAATCGAAGTAAGAAGGAGGAAGAGTGCAAAAGAGTTTGGCATGCGGATGGGCCATAATTCTTTCTTTCAAGCTAATGTGGGCCAAACCAAGAGAGAAGGAAACGAGGTTTGGGATCTTGTTTTCACCACCAAGCCCATAAAGGAATTTATGGAGCATTTCCTTGAAGACCTTGAGGTAGAGCATTATGAAGAACCATTCTCTTATTCTTATTTCATGGACTTCGAAACAGAAGAGGAGGAATCATTCGGCTATGGAGAACATGACATATGTCACGTGGGCGGAGGAGAGTCGAGGAAAGTTGGACTGACGCGAGAAGAGTTTATTCGTGGAGTTGAGCGCAATTGGAAGCGAAGAAAGCGGAGGGTTAAGAAGGCAAAATGCGACTGCAACCTTGAGGGCAATGTTGATTTCAAGAGGGGTTGAATGTCAGATACCCGACCTATTGGGGTTTCTATTATTATATTAGGTAGGATAATGATAATTATGGTTAGTAGAGATTTAGTCGGATTAGGATTATTATTAGGGTTTTCCGGTATTTACCCTATAAATATGTACTTTAGGTTTACGTCATAGGAAGTCAAGAAAAGTATTAAACAAAATATCCTTCGAAACCTAATTCCTCTCAACTCATAATTTCTATTCTCTCCTAATCCAAGGCCTCAGCAGCCGATTCCCAATTCTATTCTGTTCTTTCTCAACTAAATCCCTAATTCTTTCTCTCAATCCTAAATCCCTAATCGTTACAAGTAATTGCGGGTACCGAAGATCAGTCCCTAGAATCCAAAGAAGCGAAGTTCTTTCAAACTCATGATGCAAAAAGAGGTTTGGATGTGTAGAGAGACTGAAGAAGGTTCAATGGTTGTATAAATAGATTGACAAAGTTTAACCTTTCATTTATAGAAACACAAAAAAGATTATTCAGGTTCAATATGATTAAAGTGGGATAAACAATTGATGGCACCATCTATAAAAGGACATCCAATGAATTCTCTGATCTTCCCAAAATTCAACTTCAGGATTCCTTCAAGAGATAAGAGCAAAGGGATTGGAATATGAAATCCATCTACAAAAGGACATCCAGTGTATAACAATAGCATAATGTCAGTCTCCTATCATCCGATTAATCCAGGTGTAGGGTTATGCAAAAAAATTATGGTCTTCTATCATCGAAAACCAGGCCAAGTTTCTTGCCTCAGTTCCACTCAAGATCAACGAATGTAAACTATCGAAAAGGGTATATATTATCACTAATATCACACTGGAACTTCGGACATGTTGGGGGAACTCTTCCAGAAAGCTCGGTCATGGGATGCCCTACAACCCTGTTGATGTTATGTGCATTTTGGCTTTCTTGTACCTGAATATTGTAAATACAACAAACGGAAGAAGAAGAAAAGTTGCTGAACCAACTGTTGCCTTGTGTCAGCTTGTGATGTCACTATCAGGGCTCAAAATGCTGTAAACATCACTACAAATCGCCACTGTACTGGAGGTCACTGCCAAAAACAACATTAGCCATGCTGCAACGCGATCTCTCTTTGTCGCGATCCCGTGAGCATTCCTGGAGAGAGAGAGACGAGGAGTGAAAAAAGATATATATATATATATACTCGATTTGGATAACAGAACTACAATACACAGAACTGGTTAAGAAAACTGCGTAGTTGCTTACCTAAGAGCAATAGCAGCTGGAAAGATGAAGCCAACAGCAACAGCAGCTGTGGCTCCAGTGAATTGGAAGGCATCCCAGATATTAGGCACGAAATTTGCTCCAACAAAGATGAATCCCATGAGAGCGATGGTTATGGAGAAGAATCTCTTGTTGTCTCTGGATATGGGAATCGCATACGGGAAGAATAGACCATCCAGGTTGAGTCGAAGAGAGTAGAACACAATAGGGAACACAAGCATGAGATGTACACCGTAACTAATTCTCACTACATCATCAATCAGTGAGCTGTATGGAATTCCGAGATCACCATCGAAGTTGGCGAGCACATCATCCATTATCTTATCCCCGAAAAGAAGAACTCCAAAGAAGCTGGTGGCGATGTAGACGGACGAGCACAATGTGAGGGATGCTCGAACGATAGGCTTCATCTGAGAGGAATCTTTTAGCTCGTTTTCAATCGGATGAACTGCAATAAACATATTGTTGCATGATGAGCAATATCTAGGGAGTTTCAAAGTGAAGATACTGGTGCATTAGAAAGTCAACATGACATGATGGAGAAAGAATCTGAAAGACCTTGACATAGTCCAGCTACTGGTTAAAAGTAAGAAATGTTATCCAGTGGGAGTTTCATACCTCCAACAAACAAGACTAACAAACGTGGCAGCACCAAGTTGCAGCATTCAGGCACTAACTGAGTTTTGGTGGAAATACAGAGCTTAACAGTCATGAACCGAAATTCAAACTCCTTAACTTACCATTGTGATGACAGATATAAGCAGTGACGATCACAGGCACAGTTGTAAAAAGTTTCCAGAAGTCTGCCTGGTCCTTCACTTGGGGCATCAACCGAGGCATCCCAATACTTCCTTCAGCTAGCTTAACAATCGCAACTCCAGCTGTGATTACCACGAACACAACGGCCAAAAGCACCGACAACGCCGAGGTGTATCTCAATGAATCTGAAATCACAGCGATTAAAGTTGCAGCCTTTGATCATGATCTCAAACTCCCATATGCCAAGCTCATACAAAACACCATGAAAAATTTTAACATCATAAACCCACTCTTTCAGTTGATTCAACAGGGTCCCATTAATAAACAAAGACATGAACATGTTTCCCTCGAAGACTGAAGTGATAAACAAATGATCACCCATCTCTGAACCATGATTAGTATAGACGAAGTGTAGTACCGGTAGTGGCAACTTATATCTAGAAGTTTGACTCGAATAGACCAAGACTGCCCATTGATATAATTCAATAAAAATGGGTAGCCAAGACTTTGACAAAGTCTGATTCAGCTAAACCAATGATCTCAATCTCAATCATGGAACATTGAACTAGTCTAGCTTACCAACGCGCTTGAATGAAATAAGAGGGCCCAAGACGAGGAAAGTGGTGAGAAGCAACAAGGTTGAACGAGCAGTCCACCAATGGTGGCTGCCAAGCCATTCCTCGACCAGCCCTGAGTGATGAACACCTTCTGACCATGTCCCAGCTAATACATCCCCTGCCCACCACAAACAAACCAACACATTACCACGTCAACCACGTTCTCCCGCAATCACTCACTGTTAATCAAACGTCCGGCCATCTATGAACTGAACCACCCAAGATATTATTTTATTATTAATCCGTTCGGTTCGCGAACCAGCTGGATCATACGTGTAAAGGCCGCAACGTTTTCCCCACCCACTTGGCAGTTCTGCACTGAATCCAGTTCCAGGCCGAATTCGTTGTAATTTTTTCCCCTTTTTTTTTTCTTTTGGGGATGGAGAATTGCTTCAATCGGAGAGAAAGGGGAAAGTGCGTTACCGATGATAATCAAGTAGACGATGAGCATTCCAAGATTGTTGACGACAATGCAGACCTGAAGAAGCGTGCGGGCAAAGCCACCGAAGGCATCGGCGACGACTCCGGAGTAGGAGGTGCTGGTCTTGGAAGCGCGGCCGAATCTCAGGACCAAGTCAATGGAGAGCTCGGTGACCCAGGCGCCGAGAAGAATCATGAGAAGGCCGGGGATCAACCCCAATTGGTTGAGGATGGCCGGAAGGGCCATGATTCCGGCACCAACGATGGTGGTGGAGAGATTGAAGACCGCGCCGGAGAAGGATGCGCCATCGAATCCGACCTCCGCTGACTGGCAGTCGTCGTAATCCCGGTCGTCGCGCTTCTGAGGGAGGAGAGGGACCTTGGAACCGCGACGGTGCTTCCGATCGCCGGCGGAGGAGATCGCCGTCATGTTCTTTGGAGGAGATACACGGCGAGGAGGGCCACTTGGAGAGCTGAAATGAAGCTTTGAGGGAGGAAGAAACGGGACAAAGAGGTAGTGTCAGAAGAATCGGGGAAGACGAAAGAGAAGGCGACGCGTGGAGGAATGGAGATTAGTTGGCGTCTAGTGATTGGATTAAGCGTTCTGGACAGAAAGCTCCGACGGAGAGAAAGAAGAGCTGCAGGGCGGCAGCAGAGTATTTTTCACGTGACGGAGCCGCTAAACTGGGAAAGGGAAAGGACTTGAGATTAAGGAGAGAGACAGACACCGCCCTTGCTAAAGACGTTTTGGAGATGGGATTTTCTTCTTCTTTATTGAATTGGTGTTTGCATCTTTCTGGGGAAATTGTCCCCAACACTTTTGGAATTAGTGGGAAGGCACCAACAAACCAAAAACGTGTACGGGAACGGGAGCTGGTATATTAACCAAATCAAACCATCCGACCGGTTGAAGATAGTCCAGAGCGGGTAAGCCGACGACTCAACAAATGACAATGATCGACCCACGAAATACCTCAGCTAACCGAGCCAACCATAAACCCGTCCTCCTCTTCTTCTTTCACATCATGACGGTATGAATGCCGTACATATTAGGGGTGGGCATTGGGGCAGTCAGTGAGTCAGATCACAACCGAACCGTATATCAGGTCAAACCGAATTACACCAACAAGTTTGCGGTCTACATGTAATGCATTTGACGGTTTGCGGTCGATTCAAACTGAAATGGCAGCTCAAAACTGCAAACTTGATTGCAGACTCTCAAACGTGCGTACCCAGTCAAGAATGACGGGAGTCAATTCCATCAACAATAAGATCAGGCCTCCATGTCTCTTCTGCCCAGAGAAATACTTTCCCTCAAGCATGCACTGCCCAAATCGATTTCATTTCATGTGCAGGACATTGGGGAGACTAAACTGCCATGTGGATCAAGCACCACCGGGATACCATTTCTCCGTGATGAACACAATCGCTAACCTTTTAATGGCAGAAGGGCGGTTGACAGAGTATCAACGCATTCTTGATTGGAGACTTTCCAACTGCTTCCCAACAGAAGCAGTCTGCTAGATTGACGAGCCCGCACTGGAATCCATACCATTTCGAACTCCTCCGATCACCTGAATTCGCCTGGATGTACATTTGTTCAAGGATTGAGAGCAAACCAGGCGAAACGTTTCAGTCCGAAACAAGTACAAATTTTCCCTGGCATCATGGTGAAGGGCGGCTCGTCATGGCCATCACCTTTGGCTTTCTGACCATTGATCAGGACTGCTTCAGACTTCCCCAGCGGTCGAGGAAGTTTTTGAGGGTAGAACTCTTTATATTTTTGTCGCAATTTTACTCCAGATGTGTACCTCGTTTTTTGATTGTGTTTGCGGTGCTGTTTTGGATCTACACCGCACAGAAACAGCATATTTCCGGTTCGATCGCACCGATATGATTGCATTCCAAATGTGGCGCGATCTGTTTTAGATGATTGCTGCGCGGTGCGGTTCGACTGCTCCCATTGCCCACCCCTAATAGAGTTCAGAATCCATCTTTCAACAACTCAGATAGATGCCTGTTTCTATGATACAAATAACACATACGAAATCAAAAACCGGATGTCATGGCCAACAACCGGCAAACTAGAGCCAAGAGCATCACCTCCGCCAACTCCACAACAATGGAGGAGTACAGGCAGTAGCACCGTCACCACCATAAATTCCAACCTCCTCCAGTCCTCCTTTAGGTGTATTGAAACCTTAAGCCGAAAAAGTTAAGACCTACGGTTAGGTTGCCATCAAGTGATGAATAAATTCATCAAAGTTTCCTCTTTCTCTTGCTGCCTTGACTTGTCTTAGTCCTGGAGGATATGTCTGAACGTGAATCGAGCTTGGTTTGTGTAATCGAGCTCCACAAGGCTCTTTCTACATCCGAGGATGTGAACGAATCGCCAATTGTGCTTAGTTCCTGAAAAGAAAGAAACAAAATTACATTACACATATAAAAGCAGGCGTATGGATAAAAGGACTGCATATAGCAACAAGCAACAGGCTGATGGAGTCATGGTCACCCTCCGGCTGTTCAAATTACATGTGCATCTTCCCACGGAAAAAAGTTGATCACTAGCTTATATAGATAACTAAAATTGGCTGCACTACTGCTTTTAGACAGTTCCATAAACCCTCTTTTTGATAAAAGGATAAGCAATGTAAAGCTGTAAAGATGGCATTCAGGAACTTCTCAACTCATGCAGACCAATTACAAGTGATACACAATATCCTAGTTTATGTCAGCCATCAGCTAACAGAAGTCACGAATCTGGATGTTGGTTAACCAAAAACCTCGTTAGAGGTTCTCACATAGGCACTTATTAGTTCTTTAATCCTTCGATGATTGAGGTAGCGTAGGCCAAATGCAGTTGGACCAGAACATGAAAACTCAGGCTGGTAGAGCTCAATCAGAATAATAAGACTCTTGAATTCAAGCTAGCCCTCTCTTCCTGTCGTTCTAATAGATTGTATGCTCATCATAATCCCCTCACTCAGTGACTACAAACAACAGGCAATCATGGCTACAGGAGCAAAAGATAAAACTATCCTCTGTGGACTGTGGTTGGTATGGTTAAGCTGGAATACAGCCTCACTCGGAAACTCTGAAGCAGAATGAAGGCTCCGAGTCGATTGGTTAAAGCTAATCTGGACCATACACATTAGAAATGGAAATGCCAACAGGCAGAGGAAGCTGACCTTCGCTTTAGCGTGCAGTTTGTCAGCGAACAGCAGATACTGCTTCAAGGTATAGTCTTTAGAGTTACCTAGAGCCGCCTCCATAGCCTTCCACCAAATCCACCAATAAATACAAGTGTTAAACTGGAAAAGAGAGGCAGCAAATTAACAAAGAAAAAGTCAAATAGCTCCAGAACCTCACTTCGTCGGACATGAAGGGGGCGACATCCGGCGCATAGGCGGCGAGAACGGCGGACGCGGTGGCCGGACCGACGCCTTTCAGAACCGTGAGGGCTGAGACCGCTTTCGATAGGTCAGGGAGCGACTCGAACGCCTTTCCGGAAGCCGATTTCACGAGCTCCTCGTCCAGAGACGAAACGAAATCCAGCAATCGGGGGCGCCATTTCCCACGGGAGAGCTTCCACTGCATCAGCTTCGCGAGCTCGGGAGTGGTGATGTAGGGGTTAGGGTTTCGCCGGTGAATTGCGGAAGGAAGTTCGATGCGGTAGAATTCATCGAGGGATACAAGGTTGGGCTTGTTGACAGAAGCTATCCGGGCAGGGTAACAATCTAGCGCCTGTTTCCAGAGACTGATGTCAGAGCTCTTGAAATCCACCATTGCTTTGCCTTGCTAAAACTGCTGCCGAAGTCGCCGGCGGGACTAGGAGGTGGGACTTCGGAGCGACATTTTTAATTTTTTTCGAACTTTTGCCTCCCCGAGAGGCGTCTTGATGAGGCCCGATTCTGATGGTTGTAATAGTTGGTCTCGTTCCTCTCTTCTGGATTAGAGCATGAAATGGATCCTTCAGGCCTGTTATCCATCGTGGGCCGAATGCCGAGAAACATGCAGCTTTCAGCCTGCAGACGTTCTTGACCTACGAACATAGTGTACAATCATATCTATTTCTTGGTTAATGAGATTAGACAAAAAATTGTCCATGGTATAGCGATGGCAACAAAACCCGAACTCACGGGTACCCACCCGATCCAATCCGGTCAAAATGGGTAAAACTCGTAATGGGTTTTGGGTCGGGTTCGAGTTTAAACCCGCTACACTATTCACCGGGTCGGGTTGGGTTTGGATTTAGGTAAACCCGCCCCATGGGTACCCGCCCACACACATATAATATTCTAAATAATATATATTCCTTAAACAACTAATATTCTTTATGTTTGTGGAGACATGTATAATTTGTTCTTTCTAATTGTTTAGAATGAAGTTGATATTATGAAATAGAGAGTGAAGAAACTTAGTTGACGAGGAAGAAGCTTTCAATTAATCTTATTGTTTATAGATGTTTATCTTTAATTATGAATAATTTGTATTGATCATTTGTGGTTTGCTTGTATGCACTAGATTGGTGTTTTTTGTATGAATAATTTGTATGAGAAAATTGATGTTAAACTTTTATTTTGAAAAAACTTGTTATTGTACATTTTTTACCACAAAAACCCACGGGTACCCATGAACCCGCGGATACCCGACAGGTTGGGTTGGGTTGGGTTTGAGTTATTCAAACCAAGCGGGTTTTACCCCGAATTTTTTTGGCGCATAAACTCATAGGTTTGGGTTTGGGTTTGACAAAACCCGCCCCAACCCGACCCATTGCCATCCCTACATGTGTCCAGACTTGAAACATTCCATTCATACGTACATGAAATTAGGAACTATATAATACCTCAATTTTTAAATGAGAAAAAAGAGGAATTTTTTTTCCTGAATATCGATGAAGAGAATGACGTGACAAATAAAGCACAATTACATTATTCTATAGTACAATAATATTAGAGAAATCTAAAATAAAGCGGATAGTGAACAGAGTCTAAAGTTAGTTCAATAATGTTATTAAAAAGTGAATATATCATTCTAAAAATAGTTGAAATTCTAAACCACCAAAATGGTTCTTCTAGAAAAATGTAACTTTTTATATTGATCTTACTGACAAGGTGGACATGTGGATATCCTAGGTTGCGTCATCCACTTCAACAAATTTAACGACTAAATTCACGAATACTTATAATTGTGTAACATTTTGAAATGTTTGAATTTTCATAATATCTTAAATATATGATATATTTTTATTCGCTGTTCAAAAGATTCGAGTTTTTTTTTTTTTGCAAATTGCGCTTGCCCTTATCATTCTTTTGTTCTTATTTTAATTATCGTCTAAATTAACTAACCATTACAAAAAACTGAATGTGGGAGACCAAAATTTGAAATTGATGATCTATCATGAAAAAAACCTTCAACCAACTCTTCAAGTTCCGATCCTCTTAAGATACATTGGAAGTAAAAAAAAACATCTCTCTACCCGAGCTCAACTAAAACAAATAATAACACTAAGAGTATATAAATTAGAGCTGTCAAAATTGAACCTGACCGGACTAACCCGCCCAACCCACCCAACCCATAACCTGTTTGTAATTCAATTTGACAAAAAATCAACCACCCGAAGCCCGCCCGTAACCCGAAATCAATTGACCCGTAATCCGATCAACCCATAATTCGATGAACTCATTATCCGATCCAATCCATAACCCGACCCACCTATAACCCGAATGATTCATAACCCAAATAACCCGTAATCGAATCGTCCCAACTCGAATAACCCGAATAACCCATTTGACCCGAATGCTTGTACAAAAATTCAATGTATACATTATTATATTTTTAAATTTACCAAGAAAGAACTGTTGTTCTCCAAATAATTGAAAATTATTTGTAGAATTGATTGTATAAATTGAAATTTTTTCTTAAATATTTAATTTCTAAAATAATAATATGTGAAATATCTTTTCAATCTTTTTTTATGAAATTCAAAGGATAAATTTTTGAAGATAATAGGAAGAGTAGACACAAATTCTTATCTCCACCACCCATAACTATATTAAAAAATCAACCCTTGAAAATCAATGAAATCCCCAAAATCAATGAAATCAATGATCCCTATCAAGATATATAAGTGGATAGTTTACCCTTTTTACTTCATTCTCAACTTTTTACTGATTTTATTTATTTTTTATAAATTATTAAATCGACGATTCGAACTAGATAATAATATCATATTTGAGCGAACCGTTGTTCGACCCATGAGTTTTAGGATGAGATGTTACTGTGAATATATTAAAAAAATTGTGAATATATATAAGTGGGTGATTCGGAATGATGTTCATAAGTCTTCGTGGAAATGAAGAGACACACATCTAGTTCAGACTATATTTAAAGACAATTCATTTCGAGATGTATAAGCATATAGTCTACCTGTTTTACTTCATTCTCAAATTTGCTTTTATGTACACGATTTTATTTATATTTAGTTTTTATACCAACATAATGGATATTTAATTTGTATGGGTAAAATATTATCATATTATCATTTTCTTAAATTTTGTATCATTACCTACAATTTATATTCATATATTAATAGTTTGTAAAAAATTATTTTTTGTCAAGAAGTAAATGTTCCAATGAGTGGACCCAAATAACCCATAATCCGATCTGACCGAACCCGAATTAACCCGCAATCCAATAAACCCATAATTTGATGCACCCGTAACCCGACCCGATCCGTAACCCAATTGACCAGTGACCTGATTGACTCGTAACCCAATTGACCTGAAACCCAATTAAACCTGTCCAAATTGAAACCGACCCGATTGAACTCGCAACCCGATTGAACCCAACCCAATTAGATCCAATCCAAACCCGACCCAACCCGCACAATTGACACCTCTAATATAAATGAGGCCAGTAACTAGCGATGGCAACAAAACCCGAAGCCATGGGTACTCTATCCGACCCAACCCGGTCAATGCGGGTAAAATTCGTGTTGACGGATTTCGAGCCGGGTTCGGGTTTAAATTCGTTCACTATTCACTGGATTGGGTTGGTTTTGGGTTTAGGTAAACCCTCCCCATGGGTACCCACCCACACCCATATAATTAAATTTCCCGGTATATTTAATATTCTAAACAACTAATCTTCTTTATGTTTGTGGAGACATGTCTAATTTTTTCTTTCTAATTGTGTAGAATGAAGTTGATCTTATCGAGTGGAGAGTGAAGAAGCTTAATTGACTAAGAGGAAGAAGTTTTTAATTAATCATGTTGTTTGTGGATAATTTGTGATTTGCTTCAATTTTCTTGAGTTTTCTGGATTAGTGTTGAATAATTTGTATGATTAATTAGTGATTTGGTTAAATTTTCTAGAATGGTGTTTTATATATAGATAATTTGTATTGAGAGATTGATATTTGACTTTTATTTTGATAGGAACTTGTTATTATGAATTTTTACGACAAAACTCATGGGTACCCATCAACCCTCGGATATCCAGCGGGTTGGGTTGGGTTGGATTTGAGTTTTTCAAACCCAGTGAGTTTTACCTCAGATTTTTTCACGAATAAACTCATTGGTTTGAATTTGGCAAAACCCGACCCAACCCAACCCATTTCCATTCCTAGCTGCAACTAGCAACTAACTTAACAATGTATAAATGGTAGATGCAGATGGCTCCAAAGTCGAACCCTCAATCTCCATCGTTGGGGGGTTTTGAAGTTTTGGGTTGATGGAAGACAAGAAGTAGCCGGCAACTAGAGTATCAAAGCATTCAATTGGTTGTCCTGTGACACCACCAACTCCAATTCCCAGTCAATTTTATGGTGGATGTGTATGGTCTGAGTCATTGGAAACTGATATACGTATGCTCACACTTTCCCTAGTCAAGGTTAAAATGAAATCTATCACCCAAAAAACAACTAAAAAAGCGGTTTGTCAAATAGTTATGTTTCCGAAAGGCGTCCGAAACAAGAAACAACAAAATATTTAGTATATACAGGATATTTGTAGGTCAAATCACAAAATAGAGGAAGAAAGAAGCGTTAGTTGGTTGACCAACGATAAGAAGGATTGTTTTGCCACGTTATGGGCAACTATATTATACATACTCGGTGTAAATTGAAATGAGACATGTTGGAGAGATGTGTGAAGAACCTGAACCTCAGGAAAAAGAGTAACGCCTAGAGCGCGCGACGTGTCTTTTACGTTGACCATTTGAATGATCACCTACGCATCACCATAAAATAAGACATTAGTAATGGATTGAGATGAGCACCATCTCAGATAGTCCCTCATAGCTAGGAGTTCAATGATGAACGGGTTAGATATATCATCATAGAAACGACCGAATGCAAATTTCACTAATGGGTCGATTTGTCAAATGGGTTGGATGATGAATATAATTTAGAGTTATATATAAACCTTTAATTAACCGTGAACATATTAGACATTGGGAAGGGATAGTGTACAAAACCCATAACTTCAAAACCACTACAAAACTCAATCATCCACCCTCCATCTCTTCCCCCATCTAATGGTTCAGATTAATTCCCAACGAAAAAAAAATCAGAGGGGCGAATTGGTAATTTCGCATGCTCTGCCTTTTTTTTACAGTGACACGAATCCAAATCAAAGAGAATGTACTTTTCATAATCTCCTATTTTTGTAAATCGGATCCTATAGCATTCGTTTTAACTCAGAACTAAAAAAATTGTATGAAAAAAACACATAAATTATGATCTACGCAATTATCCACTTTGCTATATTTTGAGCAAGGAAAAAAATCAATTCTTCAAAACACGTTTCAGTTGTAGTATTATCACTGTCATATCTATCATATCATTGTAATATGGCAGTGTTATGATAACTCATCTACTTCATTGT